AAGTTTTTTGAAATTTGAAGTTATTTTAACAATCTGAGAGTAGCTAAAGGTCCCAATCTTTGGATTCATTGGCGGTTCTTTCTTTGGTTTCACAATGGCCCCTAAAGCAATGAAATGCATCATGTTTCAAGTTAAAAACATTAACTTTCCTTGCTCTAAGATAAAATAAAAAGGCTACCTTTTTGTTTCCTCCTTGTGCTTCTGAAAATTTTGACTAGGGCATTGGTCAACCAACCAGTCTCATCTAAACTTCTCAAACCCATCTCTACATCTAAACACTCCTTAAGTTTTGCCAGCACATGACTCATGTCTGGCCTTTGTCTAATTGGCAACACGCATGACATTGCTATCTTGATTGCTTTTCGAGCGGTATTGATGTTAAATTCACCTTGTAGCCTTGGATCAACGATGCACCAGATATCCCCTCTATCAAATAAAGGACAAATCCATCGACGTATGTGAATGTCATCCTCTTTGCCCTGTTTTATGATTGCCGGCTGACCACTAATTAGCTCTAGTAGAATTATCCCAAAACTGTAGACATCACTTTTCTTACTTATGCGTCCTATTGTATAAGATCTGTATGGAAAAACCAAAAAAAAAAAAAGATATCGATAAGATTTTGAACAAGAATGATATATTAAACATGTTAAAAATTTAATTTTAAGTCTTACTCAGGATCTAAGTATCCAAATGTCCCTGCAGGGTGAGTTGATACATGAGAGGCTTCTGTTGGAAAAAATCTGGATAGTCCAAAATCTGATATCTTGGCTTGCATGTTTTCAGTTAATAAGATGTTGGCTGGTTTCAAATCTCTGTGCACTATTGGGGGCTTGCAACCATGAAGAAACTCTAACCCTGCACTTTTAGCGCAACATCAGTTGATGGCTCTATGGAAAATAGAAAAAGAAAAAGAAATTGAAGAAATAGTTCCCTTAAAAAAATTAGCACCATGTGCAGCATCTACAGCAATTTGAAGCCTTTCACCCCAACTCAAAACTCGTTCACTTTTCTCTACAAGAAAAACATTCAAGGTAAGAATTTCTAGCTCAAGCAGTCAAGGACAATTAAATTTGGTCATAAAAAATACAAACCTGATAAATATTGTCCCAAATTTCCATTGGCCATGTATTCGTATATCAATGCCTTTCTACTATCTTCATCACAGTATCCCATTACAGACACCAGATTTTCATGACAAACAACTGTCATAAGTTTTACCTGCATTTAAAGATGATGCTTTGTCATGGTAAAATTTATTTTATACATATTAAGTCTAATCTTAGATAGCGTTGAGAGAAAATGGCTGCAACAATCCAACCTCTGCTTGAAATTCCTTATAGCCTTGCATTGATGTTGAAGACAAGACCTTAACAGCAACATGAGTGTCAGCATTCAAGATGCCATGGTAAACTTCTCCAAATCCTCCTTTCCCAATAACCGTTTTGAAATTTGAAGTTATTTTGGCAATCTGAGAGTAAGTAAAGCTTCCATTCATTGAATTCATTTGTTGCTCCTCCATTGATTTCATGATGCTCCCCTAAAGCACTAGAAATTATCATGTATGTCATCAGTTGGTTCTTCAAATAAATTAAAGACTAAAAATTAAAACCAAAGTACCAATGGGGGGAAGTTACTTTCCTTGCTATGTTATGATTGTTAAAATTAGTAAAGTAATTTTCTAGAAGGTTCACTATTCATGAATAGCTCTTCATCTTTCAGTTATGTTAGCATGTGAAATCAAATATATTTGTGGCAGTTACAATTAGTTTATTTTGTTTAGTGGTGTGGCAGTTTCTTTTGCAGTTTGTAACTTCTTTTCATTTTAGCAATGTTTATGTATTTCATCAATTATTTTCTAAGTAATAGAAGAAATTCAGAGTCATACAATTCTTGTTCCTTTTTTAGCCATTTTTGAAGTTCTTTGGTTTGCTTTTCTTCACTAAGGTTGCTGATCTTGGGTTAGTGTGGCTTTTGTTGCACTAAGATTTGTTTACATGGTATCAGAGCCTAAGAGATAAGCAATTGCTCTGTGACAAGACCTCTTGCGAAGAAATCAGCCGGTGTTCCAAAATGGATTCAAGTGGTCGAGTTGTTGGACTTGGTATGGAATTATTGAACCAATCCAATTATAATGTATGGAAGACTTGCATGGAATCTTATCTTGTTGGTGAGGACCTTTGGGATGTTGTTGGTGGTGATGACATTACGGCTCTAGAAAATAATGAAGAAAATGCTAAGGCCTTTAAGCAATGGAGGCAAAAGAATGCTAAGGCAGAATTTGCTTTGAAGAGGTCTATTTCTCATGGAATGTTTGAGCACATAATTTGCTACAAATCTGCCAATGGAATTTTGCAAACACTAGACAGGTTATTCAACAAGAGAGATGTGTCTCAACTACAGTTCTCGGAGAATCAACTAGCTAATGATTGTCAAGTGGGGACCTCTTTATTGCTCAATTTTTTCTAAAAATTAAAAATTTATGTTCAGAAATATCAATTTTGGATTCGAACAAGCCTATCTCTGAAGCTCGTATGAAGCGGCATATTGTTCACGGGTTAAAGCCAGAGTACATTGCTTATGTCACCTCGCTTCAAGGGTGGGCTCAACAACCATCCTTGGAAGAGTCTAAAAATCTCTTGTCCTCACAAGAGTCTTTGGCCGAGCAAATGGCAAGTTTATCTATGACTTATCAAGATGGTGGTGTTGACAATAAAAATGTCCATGTAGCTAAGAAAAGGAAAAACTTCAACTCAAAAGAAAAGAAAGATGGTGCAGAATCTAGAGTTGGTGCCTCTAATTCTTCAAATTTCAAGAAGAAAAACTTTAGATGTTATCGGTGTGGTAAACTTGGACATGCGACGAAAAATGTCGTGTCAAGCTGAAGCAAGGAAATTGGGTTGAAGCTGAAGGTGGTGATAAACAGGGTTCTTCTCAAAGCAATGAAGAAGACTGGGGAAAGTGTTTCATGGCCAGAATTGCATCCAATCCTACTTTAATTGATTTTAAGAATGATTGGATCATAGATTCTGGTTGTGGTCATCATGTGACTGGTGATGCTTCCAAGTTCTCAAGTCTCCATCTTTATAAAGGCAAAGATGCAATTATCATAACTGACAACACGGTTCACTCTGTGGAAAAAGAGGGGACAATTATTCTCGGTGGATGCAAGGAAAATTTCATTACACTCAATAATGTGTATCATGTCCCAGGTATGACAAGAAAATTTTCTCAGTTACAAATGCTGTGGACTTTGGCAATTATGTCATATTTGGCCCTAATGATGTGAAATTTCTTTGAAATATTGAAGAATTAAAAGCGGATGTTGTTCATGTTGGTAGAAGAATTGATGATGTGTATGTTTTATCAACTTCAACATCCTTTGTTGAGAAGCTAAGTGGCCATGACAATGCTTCTATAAGGCATGCTCATCTTGGGCATCTTAACATGAATAAATTGAGAGTTATGGTGTAGAAAGAATTAGTCAAAGGGCTGCCAAACCTAACCAGTTTTGGTGATAGTGGAATTTGTGAAGGTTGTCAATATGGCAAGGCTCATAGGCTTTCATTTGAGAAGTCTTCTTCTAGGTGCAAAGCTCTATTGGATTGCATTCATAGTGACTTGTTTGGGCCAACTCCCACTCCTTATTCTTGTTTTTGCTATATGTTGATATTTGTTGATGATTTTACAAGATTCACTTGGGTTTATTTTGTGAAGGACAAATCAGAAGTTTTCCTCAAATTTCAAGAGTTCAAGGAAACTGTTGAACGAGCTCTTGGAAGGAAAATCAAACAGCTTCGAACTGACAATGGAGGTCAATTTTCTTCTGATGCTTTTAATTCCTTTTGTTGTAGTGAAGGGATAAGAAGGGAACTCTCTTATGCTCACACTCTATAGCAAAATGGAGTGGTAGAAAGGAAAGTTAGATATCTTGCAAAAACTTGTAGAAGCTGGTTACATGCAAAAAATCTGCCAAAAGAATTATGGGCAGAAGGAATGAAATGTGTAGCTTATGTGATCAGCAGGGTGCCACTTAGTCCAACCAACATGAAGTCTTCTTATGAGTTGATGTTTGGTGAGAAGCACAATGTTAGGCGCTTCAAAATTTTTGGCTCTATCTATTATGTCCATGTGCCAGATTCTCAAAGAAATAAGTTTGATGCCGAGGCTAGAAAGTGTATTTTTGTTGGCTACGATGAACAAAAAAAGGGCTGGAAATGCAGGGATCCTATCTCTCACAAATTTGTTGTGTCAAGAAATGTGGTTTTTGATGAAATTTCATCCTACTATGGTTCTACTAAGGATTTGGAGCTTGAAGTTACAAGTTTGCCTTTCACATCAAATTCGAATTCATTTGCTTCACAAGAAAAGCATGGTGAAAGGGGGAGCTCCAGTTCAAGTGCAAATGGTTAACAACAAAAAGAAGATGGAGCTGCTAATCAAAGATCCAAAAGGAATATTGTTAAACCAACCCGCTATCGAGATGAAAATTTTACTAGCACTTACTCTTGTTTCTTTGCAGGACCATCTGATGATGAAATTCCTTTGTGCTTTGAAAAGGCAACAGGTGTCAAAGTATGGGAGGATGCAATGGATGAGGAAATGAATGCACTATTTAAAAATGAAACTTGGGATCTTGTTCCAAAACCCAAGGATGTACAGCTTGTTTCTTGTAAATGGGTGTACAAAATTAAGCGTAAGGTTGATGGGAGCATAGACAGATATAAAGCAAGGCTGGTTGCTCATGGATTTTCTCAAAAGTATGGAGAAGATTATGAAGAAACTTTTAGTCCTGTTGCCAAGATGACTTCAGTTTGTACAATATTAGCTCTTGTAGCCTCTCAAAATTGGAAGTTGTGGCAACTTGATGTCAAAAATGCTTTTCTATATGGAGAGCTTGATAAAGACATTTACATGGAGCAACCACCAGGCTATGTTGCAAATTCTCATCCAGACTTTGTTTGCAAACTCAAGAAAGCTCTTTATGGGCTAAAGCAAGCGCCAAGGGCCTGGTATGGAAAAATTGCTCAATATTTGCAATTTTGTGGTTATCTTGCTTCAGATTCTGATCATAGTTTATTTGTAAAAAAGCAATCTAGCTTGCATGTTATAGTTCTACTATATGTGGATGACATGATAATAATAGGAAATGATGAAGAAGAAATTGCAAGACTACAAGAAGAGCTCTCTATTCGTTTTGATATGAAAAATCTAGGAGAGCTAAATCATTTTCTCGATTTAGAAGTTGAAAATTTGGAAAATGGAATTTTTATAACTCAAAGAAATTATGCAGAAAAACTTGTTGCAAAGTTTGGCTTGAAGGAAGGAAAAAAGCACTCTACTTCGCTTGACATAAATACCAAGCTAAGGCGTGATGAAGGCTCCTTGTTGTCTAATCCTCAACCTTATCATGCTCTTGTTGGAAATTTGATTTCTTTGACTATAACAAGGCCAAATATTGCATTTTCTGTTGGTCTTGTTAGTAGGTTCATGCAATCACCTCGAAAGCCACATCTTGAGGCTGTGAAGAAGATTTTGAAGTATGTCAATACCACCCTTGACATGGGATTGTTCTACAAGAAAGGAGCAAACTTTTCTCTACTTGGTTTCACAGATGTTGATTTTGGTGGAGCTTTGGATAATCGCAAATCGACATCTGGTTATGTGTGGGACTGGTATTTCTTGGTGTAGTAAGAAAAAAGATTCAGTTTCTTTGTCAACTACTGAAGCAGAATATAAGGCTTCTACTCATGTAGCTCAAGAATGTGTTTCGCTTTGAAGGCTCATTGAGGATCTTGATTCTCCTATTCAAGGTTCAACCAGCCTTTATGGAGATAATCAAAGTGCTATTAGGCTTGCCACCAATCCAGTTTGTCATGCAAGGACAAAACACATTGAGGTGGAGCATCATTTCATTAGAGAGAAGGTTCTGGAAGGAACCATCAGTGCATTGGAGGTGAAAAGTTAAGATAATGTTGTTGACAGATTTACCAAGTCACTTTCCAAAAGCCCCTTTGAGATGCTGCGTTCTCAACTTGGAATTATTTCTAGAAAATCACTTTAAGGGGGAGTGTTAAAATTAGTAAAGTAATTAATTTTCTAGAACGATCACTGTTCATGAATAACTCTTCATGTTTCAGTTATGTTAGCGTGTGAGATTAAATATATTTGTGGCAGTTACAATTAGTTTATTTTGTTTAGTGATTCATCAAAAAAAATTTATTTTGTTTAGTGGTGTGGCAGTTTCTTTTTCAGTTTATAACTTCTTTTCATTTTAGCAATGTTTATGTATTTCATCAATTATTTTCTAAGTAATAGAAGAAATTCAGACTCATGCAAGTTGTGTTCCTTTTTTAGCCATTTTTGAAGTTCTTTGGTTTGCTTTTCTTCACTGAGGTTGCTGATCTTGGGTTAGTGTGGCTTTGGTTGCACTAAGATTTGTTTACAATGATAATTAAAACTGCAAACAATGTCAATAAATATGGAGCAAAACATAATGTTAATCACAACCAAAGCAGCGGCTTAAGTAAAACAAATATTTGGAAATATACTCCACTTGACCAAATCAGTTTTTATTTTTATTTTTTAAAGAGTTACATCAACTAAAAAATAATTTTTACACACATTATGTATATAAAATCTTGATGATTCATCTTTTTATTACAAATAGTTGATATTTATTTGATACGTATCATTACTTTTTAAATAAAAAAACAAAATAATATTTAAAAAATAAGATAAAATGTCAATAAATTTCTATAATTCATAATAAGAAAATGAGTGGTTAAGATATTGTATAAGTAATATGTGTAAGATTTATGTATAATTCTATAAAAAAAAAATAAAGAAAAATTCTTAAACTACCAGGCCACTTGACCAAATCAGTTGGTACCAGTTGCAAATGAAAGATCTAATAAAGAGCTTTCCATAGACACCAAACTTGCCACCAAAAAGTCATTGGAGCTCTGGGGTGTCCACAGGAATTTCCCGATCAACACTTTCACTAATATTTTTTCTTTATTGAAATCATTCAAAGAAAAATAAAAACACTAATCTAAATTTAATTCTATAATTACGCATTAATTAAATAATGAAAACATATTTTTCAATCCAAACTATACATTTTAAAGCAGTACAAACTGTAAAAGTACCCACATGCACTTAATAAATATTTCTGTATGATATTTTGATTTCATTAACAATATTTTGATATTTCACAGCTAACAACCCAAAAAAATTAAAGAATTAGACCAAAATTTCAGCTAAAATAATTAAGGAATATAGTAAAAAAAAAAAAAATCTTAAACTAGGTATATTATCCCTTCCCATCCTTGCAAATAGAAGACTTGAGTGATCTAAGGATGGCTTAGGTTAAGAACTTCAACACTCTAATTTGGAGACCTTCATTTCAAATTTTAAGTACCAAAGGAAAGATTTGAGAAAAAAAAAAAAAAAACAATTTAAAAAAGGAGAGTTAGAGAGGGGTTGTGGAGTTCCATCTCCTCCTCCCTCCATATATCTTTATAAAAACCAATCCAAACAGATGGTAAGGTAAAAGAAAGAAAAATTGTGTTACCTCTTTGTGTTCTTCTTCGGTCAAGAATTCTGGA